AGAGAGACGTATGTGGAAATTACAGCGGAATACCTGTAACCAACACCTTCAGCATAATCTATGGTAGAGTGATACAAAATCTCATAGAAGAAGAATATGAAAAACAGGAAGTAGAGGAACAAAGCGGATTTGGGACAGGACGGTCATGTATAGATAATTTATTTTGTCTATCACAGATTATGCAGAAAAAGTGTCAAACGGGGAGAGAGCTACATATGATCTTCCTCGATATAACAAACGCATGCGATAATGTACTAGTGAATAAATTATGGGAAGCCCTAGAGATGAGTAATGTAAGAAAAACATTAATAAAGGCAGTAGAACGTCTCTGTGAAGATCAAGAAGGACGGGTAAAACTAGGAAAGAGATTGACAACAACATTTCGGATAACAAAAGGTCTGAGATAAGGCTGCAGCATGTCACCGACACTCTTCAAAATATATATAAATGAAGTATTAAAAATGTAGAAAAAAAGGTGTAAGGGAATGGGCATACCATTGGACGAAGATACAACAATGTATACACAACAATTCGCTGATGACCAAGTGATAATAGCACAAACAGGAGAAGACCTGGAATTTATGATGAGGAAAGTAAAAGAAGAATATGAAATCTGGGGATTAACACGAAATTTAGATAAGACAATGTATTGGAATTTAGGAAATACTAATGACGCACTGATAATGGAAACAGGAGAAGTAATAAAGAGGACAGAAAATATTAAATATCTAGGAGCGATGATAGGGGACCAAGGGATGTATGGGATTGAAACAGAGGAAAGAATAAAACAAGGAAGGAGTCTCATAGGAGCCCTCAACCCAATATTATGGGACAAAAATATCACAAAAGAACGAAAGAGAGAATATATAAAACGATGATACAAAGCGTGGCACTGTATGGAGCAGAAAGTTGACAACTTTCAGAATAACAAAAAAAATAAGTTGAGAATAATGGAAATGGATTTCCTAAGAAGAGCGGATGGAATATCCAGAAGAGAGAGAGAGTGAGAAACGAAAGGATTAGAGGAATCATGAGGGTGGACCGAGATATAATTGAGGAGATAGAGAAAAGACAACTGATTTGGTATGGACACGTGCAAAGGATGGAGGAGGAAAGGTTACCAAAAAGGACTATGAAATGGCAAACAAAAGAGAGAAGGAAGAGAGGAAGACCGAGACCAGGATGGAACGATAGAATTACAAGAACCATGATAGAGTGGAAACTACCTCTGGAAGGATGGGAAAATAGAGAAGAATGGAAGAAAATATTAGGCACCGGAAGACCGAAGTAACGGTCAAGAAACAGAAGAAGAGAGAGAGTTCCAAGGGACTTTCTTTCTGTTTGCTAAGTTGTAACTTTCATTCTGTAAGGTTTTGTGATAAGAAGCAGGATTGGTGCCCACATTGCACACCATGTTGTTCATTATTTGGGCAATCAGAGAACTAAATTTCTGTAACTGCTGCTTCATTTAAAGTCACATACAGTATTGGCATCATTCAGTTGGCACACTGCAATAATGGCACAGTATTTTGTTTATAATTTTACTGGAGATGGAAAAGTATCCACAAAGTGTTCAGCATGTGTTATATTGATGTTGTTCAAAGAGTGTAATGATTGTTTTTTATGTTAATTATCTTTGGGTGAGGGGGTTCACTGTCCAGTAATTTATGAGAGATAACAAATGCATATACATCTCTGTGTTACATATGTGTAGTGAGAGCCATGCATGTAAAGAAAAGTCTCAATTAGTGGTGATCAATTAATCAGGATCAAACCATGCAGTCCCTATTTAATAAAGCATTATCATTTTCATGTAAAAAATTAGTGCTATTACTTGGATGAATTGCTCATGGAATTTTACCAATAAGTTCTTTGTTTACATGTAAAGAAAATAGGCACATCTAAAAGCTTTATTAAGTTGGTATTTGATTTGTCACTTCTTTAATTCCATACACTGTGATATCCTGGATCTGATTTAGCCATGTGAGAATGTAAAGAGGGAGATGATTAAGAATTTAGCTTCAGCTGGTATTCTTGGAACCATGGCCAAGATCCATATCACACTTGGAAAGTGGATGATGTGGAGTACTGACATATTCTTTGATGCCAGACTCTTGTAATATACATGTTACAGAAATCAGCTGAAACATTCTGCAAGACTTTAGTTGAAATCCCAACAGAGATCAAGCTGGCTACAATCTTTAAGTATTCTATTTACTAGATTTCCCCCCTTTGGGGCACTTTGCGTGACATGATACGGCTAAAAACCAGCATTGTGGCAACATTCTCATCAGTCATAATGACAGAACACTTTAATACCCAAGGGCTGACAACTACTTAGCTATAGTAAAGTTTTGTTGTTGATGCCAGTGGTAAGTTTGGTTAATCTTTGGTTTTCTGTGAATAGCGGTCGTATTTGGCAGAATTTTGCTGAGAGTGTTTTATGTTGCAAGAGAATACAGATTTTTGTGGTATAGGTGGTTTCCATTATAATAAAGCGTTGCAACTGTGACAGATTATTATTGAGGTGGCTATTTGTTTTTATTGTCCATCGGACTTTCCTGTTAACTTCTATTATACGAACGGTTAGAATGCCAGTTAAGAATTTGGGTCCTTACGAATCGTGTTTCCGCAAATGCAGCCAGCAGAAAATTCACCATGTTTTAATCTGTGGTGTAGGAGATCCAAGATTCTACCAGTGTGCGGTGTGATTATACGAAACGTGTTATCAAGGGTTATTTCTGCTAGTGGACATTAAGTCACAGATTAGAAACAGAAATAAGCACAGAACATTCATGAAAAGATGGCACACTGAATACTTGCAGAGGAATATTTTCCATTGATTTGGACCTGTTGGAAACTTGTTAAGTTGGTGTGTACATCTTGTGGCCGGAGAGATGAAGGTGAGTTTGAATTCAATTCCAATATTTTTGTGTTTATTTTCTGACGGATGTTGTTATATGTAGGCTTAATCAAAATCGCTTTTTATGTTTGATATTCACAGCAGGCGTGTGTGCACAGAATCCTCTCTCTTTGGGTATATTCTGTATTCCATCTTGAGATGTCAAATGAAGCAACATATTAAAATCACTTAAAATGATAATATAAGAATTGTAGGAGTAATTCAGGTGTGAGAAGACAGTTGAGGGCTATAAAACAATTACTTCTACGACGATCAGTTTTGAGAAAATTGTGAATAAGATATTGCTGGTTGTGTAAATATTTCTAGGTTATAATTAATTTTAAAAAGTATGAGGTTGAAGCAAGCCTCAGGTTTTTTCTTTCAGTTGCTAAAGGGAAGACAAACTTATCCCTGATGCTTAAATCAGCATGTAAAGGTTGTGATGGCGCACTGAATGGTATTTCTTCCACCTGAAAATGTCTCAATGACATTTGATTCCAAACGTTCCGACGACAGTCTGATGGAATTTAATGAAGAAAACTGTTTCTTTGAATTGTTATATCATCAGAACATTAGAGGCCTTTCAACCCAAAACTTTGAGACCACCCAGAAAATCTCCTGGTTTTCCATCAGAACATCAGAGGACTTTTCCCAAAAACTGAAGAATTGGTAATTTCTCTTAAAAATGCCCAATTACCACATATTCTTTGACTAACTGAACATCATTTGAAAGCACCAGATATCTTACAGGTAAATTTAGACAATTAGCAAGTAGCTTTTGCATGAACAATTTAGCCCTTAGGAAGATTGATTATATTTCTTAAAAATAATCTAAAATTTAGCCAGATAGAGCTAGTCTAATTTTGCAAGGAGCAGGACATAGAATGCTGTGCTATATAATTTGATACATTTTTTTTCTAAATTATGTTTTTTTAACAATATACAGAGCACCAACAAGTGACTTTGAAACATTTATTAACGAGTTAAACAGCATTATGGACTACCTTTACAAACCGGAAACGGAATTTGTCATCTGTGGGGATATAAATATGGACTATCTCTCTGAAAGCTGCCGTATGCAATGTCTAAATTCTCTTTTAGCAACATTTAGTCTTACACCTACAGTTAGTTTTCCCAAAGTAATTCAAAATAGCTCCAACTCTGCCATTGATAATATTTTTGTAGATAGTTACAGGTTAGAATACATTTCCATTAAACCGGTAATAAATGGGCTATCTGATCATGATGCCCAACTATTAGTTATAAAAAACATAAACCTTATTTCTAACTTTCACAATGATAAGAAGGTAACTAGAGTGATAAATGAAGTCACTTTAAATGAATTTATACAACAACTCAGTAGTGAAGATTGGGAATTATTACTCAGTGGTGGTGATATGGATTCAAAGTTTAATTCTTTTCTAAACATTGTTTTAAGCATGTTTGAAGAAAAGTTTTCTAACTAAAACAGAGAAAAAATTGTCTGAAACCAATTTATGGATAACTAAAGGCATCAAAACATCATGCAAATATAAGTGAGCTCATTACCTAAATAGCAGGTCCAGTAATAACCCACTATTGAAGCAACACTAGAAAATATTGCAAAATTTTATCTCAAGTCATTAAAGAAGCTAAACGTATGCATTAAAATAAATTGATAGTAGAGATTGAAAATAAAGTAAAAACTATTAGGAAAATTGTAAAAAAGGAAGCTGGTAAACTATCTAGAGACATTGAAAGCCCACCAATAATTATAAATAATAATAGAGATAATGATCCTAAACTTATAGCGAACTATTTTAATACCTGCTTTTTAACGATTGTAGAAAGAATGAACATAACCCTAAAAACCGAAGATGCAATGAAGTTCTTGACTAAGGCAATTCCTAATTAATTTCCAAATATTAATCTTATTCCTACCACACCAAATGAAATTAAAAGTATAATAACTTCTCTCAAGTCAAAAAATTTATGTGGTTATGATGGAATTCATCTAAAGTACTTAAATCTTGTGTAAATTATATAAGTATTCCATTCAGTTATCTTTGTAATCATTCAATGGCTGTAGGAATGTTTCCTGAAAGACTTAAATATTCAAAGTAAAAGCACTATATAAAAAGGGTGAAAAATCCTGCATCTCTAACTACAGACCTATTTCACTGTTTACAACATGTTCTAAAATTTTTGAGAAAGTTATGTGCAAGAGAGTAAGTAATTCCTTAAACACAAACAACATCCTTGTAGAGGAACAATTCAGATTTAGAGAAAATCTCTCAACAGAAAATGCTCTATTTAGTTTACAGCAGCTTGTAAATTTCTATAATATAATTAAACAGTGTGTACACATTATCCTATATTTGGAAATATTTAAACACATTACCTTTGAGTCTTACGGTTAGAAACTCGGTAGGTCGCCAAGGAGAAAGCCACTTGAGGTGTTGTCGCCTCCTTGATTGTAATAAACACTGTGTTTAAATGTACATTCGGACATGCCTGTAATTATGATGCCTGTTACAGGGCCTCGTCGTTTCCCTGTAGAAGATTTCTGGTGCATTAGAGGAAGTGGGGGGAATCACGCCGCCTGAGGCAATGCCGCAACCTAAATATTTTTCAAACGATTTGAATTGAGCGCGCTCTGTTCGCATTGAAATCTTGGTGACGTCATACAAACAGTCTAGAGCGCTTATGGCCGACTGACTACGTTGTCGTGTTTTGTTTGTGGTGAAGAAAAATCTCATTGTAGGCATGTCTAGTCTAATTTTTGAAGTTTGCAGATTGCATGGTAAGTGTAAGTTGGTGTTCGTTATTCTTAATACAAATGATAACATGTGAAAGTACAAATATGTTTATCTATCGTTCTGTATCTGCAGTCTTTGTAACGTACTGGGTTCAGGCGGGAATAAATAATGCGTTATGTTTACCATAAATGTGTCTTTGCTAGATGAACAAATGGATTAAAGCCAATTAACTTGCATCAAATTTTGACAAAACAAATTTAATGAAATTTTGTATTAACAACAGAACTTGTGTAAATCTAAATGTGGGGAACGATGATAAAATAATCTAGGAAGCAGAAATAACTAAATTTCTTGGCACAAATTGGCAACAAATTAAACTGGAAAAAACATATTCAATACATTATCCCCAAACTAAGCTTGTAATGTTGCTATGAGGGCAGTTGGAGCACTCATGAAAACATAAACTTTAAAATTACTTTATTTTGCTTACTTCCATTCCATCATGTCATATGGAATCATTTTCTGGGCAGATTCAATGGACAGCAAAAAAGTATTTTACATTCAAAAGAGGTTCATTAGAATAATAACAGGCACTAAAAGGAGAGCCTCATGCATGGAATTATTTAAGAAGTTTAATATTCTTCCACTACCCAGAGAATTCTCACTCCTACTCAGTAGAAGAATTTATAAATACTTGTAAGTGTAAATGATGATAGTTTCTCATCATAATTATTTTGCTGTAATACTGTAGTTCCAAAAATCAGTACATAGCTGTAATATCTTTGTATTTATATTTGTACTAGAAACAAGTACTGTGTTTGTGCTATGACCTGTTCTACATTCTTGGCTTAGGCCTATGAAGAATCTGTGGAATGTAAATAAATTATATTATATTCTGTTAAACGTGCTATGAGTTCCCCATATCAAAGCTCCAATATTTTTCTTTTTCTCTACGTAATAAATTCAAGTTCCTCGTTACATGTATTTTGTGGTAATGTTTTGTACTTGCACATTATAATAATTAAAATTTCCATACAAAATACAGTGAATAAATAAATGCATCTGTTAGGCAAAATTGTCAGCTTTATCTTGGGATTTGTATAAGGTGGTATTACCCCAGGCACATGGCAGAATTTCTCTGTATGTGGGGGGGGGGGGATTCTGCCAAACGTGTTTCTGCGAAACTTTGTCAAATAATCAAACGTAGAGCAGAAAGTATTACAAAATTCTCTATGTTATCTTCATGATGAATTACTCTCTGTGATTCAGCCTTTAGCTATTGCAAACAATGTTCTTAAAGCAAGAAAATTAAATTTTCCCTTAAAGTGATGCAGTTCCCCCCACTTCGCCTAACCTTCTGTGTGTAGGCGGTAAGTACAATTAGCATTTCTCTGCTTATAAAAAATAGGCCTGATTTCTGTGCCATCTAGCAGTGACTGTTACTGAAGCAAAATGGTTGCAGCTCAACACCAGTTCACTAAATGCAGGAAAGTTGAAGATATTACCGTTTAAACTTTTATCTGAGTACAAACCTTTACAATTATGAACAGCCAATATCTGATTGTAAAACTCATAAAATCAGCCAAGTCATCATTGGTGTTACATATGATTCTTGTATCAAGAATATCGGAGAGCTTTTATATTTTTCAAGAAATCATAACAAATGGCTGAAGAAAATTATAAAAGGGACAGATTTTGTTATCCCTGTTCAGCTTCATGGATGCTTTCAAGGACATAATCACTAAGACCAAGGAGACTGGAATGCATATTAAGCTGGATGTTAGAGAAACAGGTTGTGAGGTTAGGTAATGAACTGAATTGGCTCTGTACTGCTTCCAGTTGTAATGTTAGTGCTAGCAATCGTCAGTGTTCTGCTTCCAGTAACACAGCTAGTGAGTGGCGTCTCTTTCTGAAGCCCTGTCAGACATAACTCATGTAAAATGTTGTTTTGTCAGCAGGATAAACTAACATACTCCATCTGCTGTACACTGTGGTACTTGGCCCCTGAAGCAATGAGGGGATAGGGCACAGCATGGTAATTATTCACCACCATGAGTATGTAGAAATTTAAATGTTAAATATAGTGTGATATTCACCTCTTGTATTAAAGTACACAACAAAATTTGCAACATCTTTTGATAAGAAATGTAATTAAGCTTGCAGCAGTGAAATAAGTACATACCAGAGTTATCAATCATAGGCACATCTACAACTGAAATTTTAAAAAATACCCCTGTTAGCTCTTTTGTTTGTGTTTGTTGGCCGTCTCTCCATCAACATTGAAGATGCCAGGATCGGATTTTCATTATATTTCTTAATAATGCGGACACATTTTCTTACCATTATAAAGGAATATTTCTGCATATGTATTAAAGAATACCATATGTTACATATATGAAATCGTAGATACATTTGTTTATTGTTACGAAAACACAAATCTAGTTCTTAAATCGTTGGATATGTAATGAAATGATGTACCATAATTATGTATGTTAAATATATAATGTTTAAAGCAAGGACAGAAGGTATTTGAAGGAAGTTGGCTGGAATTATGGACAGTTGTGGAGTATGATAATAGGGAACCTACAACAGTGGAAACTTCGCAAGAATGAGGTTATGTAATAACAAATGAAATATACAATGTATAAACTAAGAGAATTGTATGAGGAAAGAATTGCAGCATATTTTAAGGTATTTTCCTACCATTTGCTTGGAAAGGCCAAGGATAACAAAAAAAGTCAGTCAGGATAGTCAGTCCCAGTTTCAACACAGCAGGCTCCCCCCCTTCCCCATGCTCATGCATATTTTCCAGTTCTGATGTGTTATTGCAGGTGATGTGATGCAGCAGTTAGTACATGCTCCCATAGCTTTGGCAATTGGGCTGAGTTTTGGGATAGGATGGGGAATTCTTTTGATGTTCGTTCTCCATAAAGATGATGTAATTCATTATAATCTTCATGTCATTCACAATAATGATTTGTCAAATAATCAAACGTAGAGCAGAAAGTATTACAAAATTCTCTATGTTATCTTCATGATGAATTACTCTCTGTGATTCAGCCTTTAGCTATTGCAAACAATGTTCTTAAAGCAAGAAAATTAAATTTTCCCTTAAAGTGATGCAGTTCCCCCCACTTCGCCTAACCTTCTGTGTGTAGGCGGTAAGTACAATTAGCATTTCTCTGCTTATAAAAAATAGGCCTGATTTCTGTGCCATCTAGCAGTGACTGTTACTGAAGCAAAATGGTTGCAGCTCAACACCAGTTCACTAAATGCAGGAAAGTTGAAGATATTACCGTTTAAACTTTTATCTGAGTACAAACCTTTACAATTATGAACAGCCAATATCTGATTGTAAAACTCATAAAATCAGCCAAGTCATCATTGGTGTTACATATGATTCTTGTATCAAGAATATCGGAGAGCTTTTATATTTTTCAAGAAATCATAACAAATGGCTGAAGAAAATTATAAAAGGGACAGATTTTGTTATCCCTGTTCAGCTTCATGGATGCTTTCAAGGACATAATCACTAAGACCAAGGAGACTGGAATGCATATTAAGCTGGATGTTAGAGAAACAGGTTGTGAGGTTAGGTAATGAACTGAATTGGCTCTGTACTGCTTCCAGTTGTAATGTTAGTGCTAGCAATCGTCAGTGTTCTGCTTCCAGTAACACAGCTAGTGAGTGGCGTCTCTTTCTGAAGCCCTGTCAGACATAACTCATGTAAAATGTTGTTTTGTCAGCAGGATAAACTAACATACTCCATCTGCTGTACACTGTGGTACTTGGCCCCTGAAGCAATGAGGGGATAGGGCACAGCATGGTAATTATTCACCACCATGAGTATGTAGAAATTTAAATGTTAAATATAGTGTGATATTCACCTCTTGTATTAAAGTACACAACAAAATTTGCAACATCTTTTGATAAGAAATGTAATTAAGCTTGCAGCAGTGAAATAAGTACATACCAGAGTTATCAATCATAGGCACATCTACAACTGAAATTTTAAAAAATACCCCTGTTAGCTCTTTTGTTTGTGTTTGTTGGCCGTCTCTCCATCAACATTGAAGATGCCAGGATCGGATTTTCATTATATTTCTTAATAATGCGGACACATTTTCTTACCATTATAAAGGAATATTTCTGCATATGTATTAAAGAATACCATATGTTACATATATGAAATCGTAGATACATTTGTTTATTGTTACGAAAACACAAATCTAGTTCTTAAATCGTTGGATATGTAATGAAATGATGTACCATAATTATGTATGTTAAATATATAATGTTTAAAGCAAGGACAGAAGGTATTTGAAAGAAGTTAGCTGGAATTATGGACAGTTGTGGAGTATGATAATAGGGAACCTACAACAGTGGAAACTTCGCAAGAATGAGGTTATGTAATAACAAATGAAATATACAATGTATAAACTAAGAGAATTGTATGAGGAAAGAATTGCAGCATATTTTAAGGTATTTTCCTACCATTTGCTTGGAAAGGCCAAGGATAACAAAAAAAGTCAGTCAGGATAGTCAGTCCCAGTTTCAACACAGCAGGCTCCCCCCCTTCCCCATGCTCATGCATATTTTCCAGTTCTGATGTGTTATTGCAGGTGATGTGATGCAGCAGTTAGTACATGCTCCCATAGCTTTGGCAATTGGGCTGAGTTTTGGGATAGGATGGGGAATTCTTTTGATGTTCGTTCTCCATAAAGATGATGTAATTCATTATAATCTTCATGTCATTCACAATAATGATTTATTTCCCTGTCTTGATGTTTCACTGTTGTATATTAACCTTCTGTTGGGTTATGTTTCACTTGTCAATAGTCCTGATTTTTTGTGGTGTCTGGCAACTTGAATGTTAAAGTGCTTAGAAAGTTACTAACTTTCTGGCCAATTAGAATTTTGAGATTATGATCACTTGAGTTGATTTTTCACAGCACAGAGATTATGAGTGCATCATTCTGTCTATCAATACTGTTTTTGTTTACAGTCCTCAGAATAATTGATAGTAAATAAATTTTTTTGTGTCTGTTAATACACTCTAGCTGGTTAGATATCAACAGTGCTTTTCTTTATAGAAAGAAGATACCAGCACACGGATGTGATGAAGGCTGGAGATAAGCAATACATACGTTTCTTAAGCTTTTTTTACCATAACTGAAGCTTTGAAACATCATAAAGTTTATCCGGTACTTGTTGGTTATCGGGACACAAAACGGGGTAGTCGAATATCTGGGGTTGGATTGGCACGAAAAACTGCACATGCATATCAGTATACTCGTATACTCGGTTGTTGTTATCTGTTAGTTCGTTGAGTTATTTATTTCTGTTCGGTACCATGTTAAAAATTTGGGATTTACCTAACAGTGAGGAAGATTCTGTCTCTTTTCTGCAAGATTAAGGAATACTACTATATAATAACTTTCAAGTATATGTCATTTATCCACACACATTAACCTAACATAACCTAACCTATTTTTAAAGCGATGTTTCCCGATAACCTGCAAGTACCGTTTATCCTTATTTCAGCCAGTATTATTTCTTCTGTTTTAGGTTAATTTCTGTGTTTTCCTTTAATGAAAAAACTGCTTTACTTGCTTATTACTACTGTATGACTGATATAAGGGACCATTAAAATAATGTAACACCTTCTTGTTAGAATAATTTTCTTCCTATATCTGTTTTCCTTTCCAGTTTGGTGCAACGGTTATCCTGTGTGCTTGCCTGTGTGGGAGGAAGCTGCTTTGAGTATGCAGAATGGTGAGTTTCTATATGCAAACTTTTAAAATAATATAATATCTTGGGAACTATTTCACCAAATTCAATGGAATAAAAAATACAATTGATCATAATGAAGTATATCAGTTATATATAACTCATATAAAAGGCCATTAAAATAAAAATGTACATACACAAATTTCTGTTAATTATTGATGAATTTGTGGATTATTAGTGTGGGTTCAGATGAAACAGATTAACAAGTGATCAGATCTTTTGTATTTGTCAGATACTAGAGAAAAAATGGGAGTTCAGTGGGACTGTACATCAATTATTTATAGATTTCAAAAAAGCCTATGACTCTGTGAAGAGAGAAGTGCTATATAATATTCTTATTGAATTTGGTATACCAAAGAAGCTAGTGAGTCTAATAAAAAATGTGCTTAAATGAAACCTGTAGAAAGATTTCTGTAGGTAAATATGTGTCTTGAGTCATTCTTCATCAAGAATGGTCTAAAACAAAGAGATGCTTTGTCTCCACTGCTCTTTAACTTTGCGCTAGAATACACCATCAGGAAAGTCCAAGATAGGCAGGAGGGTTTGCATTTGAATGGCATATGCTGATGTTAATTTATTGGGAGACGACATAAATATACAGTAATGAGGAACACAGAAGTTTTACTAGAGGCTAGTAGGCAGGTGGGGCTAGAAGTAAATTCAGAAAAAAATTAATACATGTTAGTATCTCGTCGTTAGCAGATAGGCAGGCAGAATTATCTTAGGGTGGCTAATAAATCCTTTGAAAGTGTGACAAAGTCAAAATATCTGGGAAAAACAATAACAAATCAAAATGATATTCATGAGAAAATTAGGAGCACATTAAATTCAGGTAATATGTGTTACTTCTCAGTTCAAAACAGGGGTTAGCTGTATCGATTGGGCCCAACAGATTAGGTTTTACCTGAAGACGGAGACAGACTCCCATCTCCGAAACGTCGTGGCTTTTATTTATTTTATTTAGTATTTGACGATGGATAATATCCAGAAAATGGTTTACTTCATCAAAATATTTTGTCTTCCCGTCTGATTTCTAAGAAGCTGTAGATTAATATATACAAAACAATAATTTTGCCTGTTTTGAATGGGTACAAAACATGGTCTCTCACTCTGAGGGAGGAACACAGATTGCATGTGTTTGAGAATGAAGTGTTGAGGAGGATATTTAGGCCTAGGAGAGAAGATGATGGGGTCTGTAGAAAAGTACATAATGACAAACTTAAAAATTTATACTCCTCCCCCAATATTGTCATTGTGATTAAGTCGAGAAGAATGAGATGGGTGGGGCATGTAGTGCGCATGGATGGGACAAGAGGTGTGCACCGGGTATTGGTTGGGAAGCCTAAGGGGAAGAGACCACTGGGGAGACATAGACATAGATGGGAGGATAATATCAAGCAGGATCTATGGGAGATAGGAGTTGAACGCGATTGGATTTTGTTGGCCCTGGACAGGGTCCGGTGGAGGGCTTTGGTTAATTCGGTGATGAACCTTTGGGTTCGGTAAGCCATGTAGTTAGTGAATTATCTAATGGGTATATGTAGCTATTGCTGAAAGTACAGAAGAACTTGATGCACACTTATTTGTAACTTGGTATTCCTTGTATGTTTGTGACAATGTCTAAAGCAATGCATTGAACATGTAAGGTAGGGTACTTATTATTTACATGCAGACTTGTACCATAAAAGTAATATCTGAGGAGGTATTTCACAAAACTGAACAGAATAAAAAGATGATTTAAAATATAATGAAGTAACACAGTTATATATAACTGATATAAAGGTCCTTTAATATAAGAACAGTTTGGATACACTAATTACTGTTAATTATGTAATGTGTATATGTAGCTAATGCTGAAATTACTGGAGACACCACAGGTGAGGTGTATATACTGACATTAACAAGACAATGGAACTCCAAAACTGAACAAAATAAAAGAATCATTTAAGACATAATTCAATTCCTTTATTAGAGTGTTTGCCAACAGCAAAGAGCCTATGACAGGCAAGCCCTAATACAAAAGTACAAAAAATACAAATTATATACAAAAACAAATAAACTACCAATGTAAACACTAATATAAATGTAAAACACTAAAAAAATACTAAAACAATACAAGGAAACAAAATAAAAGCAATAATGAAATTAAAACAAATAACCAAGCTAGATCCAATCTAGACCACTCTCTAAATAATTTCTCTTAATGAGAAAGTCCCCTCAAAAGAAACAATGTTTATGCCAAATACGTCCAAAAATTTACGTCATTTGCGGCACTGACACACCTGGCTGAAGGACTATGTCTAAGCGCACTGCACACACTAAACGTAGAAAATTCTCTTATTTGCCTTGACGGCACACGAATACCAACAGCGTCCATAATGGAATTGCAGTTTATTTTGCCCTTAAAAACATTAATAAGAAATAAAGCATCGAGATGCCGTCGTCTGGAATAAAGTGTTCTGAAATTTAAAGTAGTTAAAATCAATTCATATTTACGTGGGATATTAAACTGAAAAATTCGGTAAATGCACAAACTGGCAAATTTCCTTTGAATATTTTCTAATTTATTAGAATCTGTCTGTGTAAAATTATTCCAAACGACCGAGGCATACTCAAGCTTTGACCTAATTAAAGCATTATATAAAACAACAAGGCTGTCTAAAGAGGAAAAATTATATGTAATAAAACGAATGAGCCCTAAGGTCCTTAGTGCCTGTGTATGAACAAAATTTACATGGCAATGAAAGTATAGCTTAGTGTCTAACAAGACACCAAGATCTTTTATACAGTCAGTACGGGAAATTAAAATATCACTGACAAAGCAGTTAAAATGGATACTGTTGGTTTTCCGTGTGAACAATATAATTTTGATTTTCTCAATGTTAAGTTCCATATTGTTAACATTTCACCAATGATGTACAGAATCAATATCTGCTTGAAAAAATATGCAGTCGTTCACCGATTTTATATCACAATAAAGTTTCAAATCATCAGGAAATAAGAGAAATTTAGAATACTTAATTTTGTCACAAATATCATTAATTAAATAAGAGAGGTCCCAAGATAGAGCGTCGCGTCACTCCAGGTAACACCGAGTAAGCAGAAGAAGACTGTCGTAAAATACGAAGAAAGTCGGATCTAGCAGATAAATTACTTTGGACCCACTTAACGTAAGGAGAAGATAGTCCAAAATTATTAAGCGTTTCCAAAAGAATAAGATGAGTGACAGAATCAAAGGCCTGCGTAAGATCAAAGTACACAGAATCGATCTGTCCCTGTGATCAGATGGCTGAACATCATTTAGGTAGGTAACTAAATTAGTTACCGTAGATTTTGATTTACAAAAGCCGTGCTGACTGGGGTGTAACTTGAATTTGAAATGAAAGGAAAGATGATCATGAACAATACTTTCAAAAATTTTGGAGAGGTTATTAAGGATCAAAATAGGCCTATAGTTAGAAACTAAGGCGCTGTTGCCTTTCTTAAAAATCGGCACAACAGCCGCTCTCTTCCATAATAAGGGGAAATTCCCACTAAGTAAACTAAGGTTAAATATGTGGCGTAAGAGAGGAGTAAATATCTCGGTACAACCTTCTATAATGAAATTTGGAATCTCATCAGGTCCGACACATTTCATCGAACGAAGACGACTAATCGCCCGTTTGACATCTGCATCGGAGATGGATGGAATATTAATAAAATCAGAGCAGGTGTAACCAGAATTATTCTGAGTATCAACAGAAGAAAAAGATTTAAAAACAGGAAAAATGGTCTGCAAAGGCTTCGGCAATTAATTGAGGCTCAGTAATCATTTTGTTTCCAACTTCAGTTTGGGTAACAGACTGGTCGTTCTTTTTAAATTTTGAAATATATTTCCAAAAGTGCTTAGGTTGAGATCTTAAATTGTTATCAATAATTTTCAACCAAACCAATCTATCTGCCTTAATATTTATTTTAACTAGACTACGATAATACGAAAAAATACTATAATAATAATAAAAATAATAATCAGACTTAAATTTCTTGAATTTCTTAAAAAACTGATTTTTCTTCTTAATATAATATATAAGAGAACTGAAAAACCAATGAGGATAGGTGGAATTCCTTGGTTTAACAAAAGGAACGGCAATGTTAATAGCCTCAGACACAGTAGCCGTGAGGTTATAAACTGCAGATTCAACAGAGTTTTGTTTAAAAACGCATGACCAGTCAGTGTTGCGCACGGTCTGATAAAGTAGCAAATATGAATTCTCATATAAAGGTCCATTGAAATAAGAAAAGTTTGGACACATTAATTACTGTTTATTATTAATGAATTATGTAATGGATATATTTAGCTAATGCTGAAAATAATATCTTGTTTGAGACAGGATTAGGATGGGGTCAGGCCATGAGGCTGGAGGCCAGAGTAGGGGCTGAGGAGCTGAGACGATGCGACCCTAAAGAGGACTTACGTAGTTTTACCCCCATGGCCTCATTGACTGTTTTAAGGCATTCGGGGACATTTGCCAGGAGGCAGAGTTTGATGGGTAAACCTGTTAGAAGGCGTTCACTGTGACTTAGAAGGTAGTGTTTTATTCTTGTTTCTGTCAGCTGATAATGTTGCGTATTCACTAATTAAGTATGAAAGGATGGTTATGAATGATGGATCGCGAGAAATTATTATCGGCTTGCTTTAAAGTAACTGAGAAGAACCAGGAAACTGGGGATGGCCGATATCAACGTGTTGGTCTACTGCGCGTTTTATGAGGGGACAGGAATGCGATCGAATTTTCAGATTATGTTGCCACAAAGTTTCATTAATCTTCCGACAGGCGGCTTCGTATGGGGGATGGATGTTAAGTTTGTTATGAATTGTGAATTTGTAAAAGGTTTTAAGAAACTGCCAAGGAATTTGCATTGTCTCGTTGCACAAGATTCGAACTGAATATCGCTTAGATAACCTGTCAGCTTCGTACTTTTTGTTTCTGAACTTCAGCGTTTTGTCTTGAGTGCTTCGTGGTTTTACTTTCGTTAAGGTGCGGAGATTTCTGGCGTTCATTCTGATTCTGCCTCAGATAATTCGTTGATGCGATAATTGTTCCTGTGCTCAAGCGTCATCTTCACGCTTCGGCCTTCTTGACCCTCGGTGGTCATGGGATACCAGGCTGGGTGGGCCCCAGAAACAGACTGAACGCAGAAAGGGAGGGGGGAACTTTGCCCCGTAGTCCACACAAAACCAGGATCACGATAGACTACGACACACCACATCGCTTGTTCAGGGCCGCCAGATACAGAGAGTTTCGAATAAGCATTCGCGGACAGCCGACGTGGGGTGATTCTCGTTTTTTGTTGATTTGGCGTGGGGTTGACAGTTGCTGACCGTGAGAATAAGAAATTGTTCCGACGTTTTGTGCGTGTCCTCTGACGACCTAAGCTGGACTAAGCGCAATCAAAGATAAAAGACAAATGACTTGTTCTTATGCTCATCTGCTTTTTAACTTGATACATGCGGTATTATCATTTCTGTATTTTGGCTAATATGATCCGTGAGATTTATTATACTTTTCATATATGCCCACAATTTATACTTCAAAATTTGTTCTTTTATCTAACCGTAATAAGGAGCCTACAGATGACTACAATTCAGGTGGGGACACGCGATTTAATGCACCATGGCACAACATTATTCATTAAGGACGAGGTACTTTGAGAAAGTGGTCAAAGCAGCAACAACAAACGACAATCGAACTGTGGGACAGCTGAAGAGACAATCAGCAGACGACAGGAACTGGCCACGAAGCTACTATCGGCATTGACAATATTCGTTTTAATAATTTGGTATAGCAGTGTGCATTCTCCTGCCTGGCAGTCAGTTTATTGGTCAGTTCTTTCTTTCTGTGTAGTCACTGGCGTTCCCCCACCCCTGCACCCGCTGGAACAGTGCCAGCATTTCTTCATTCCATCAAGGGATTCTGAGCTGACATGTTGTGTTTTTGTCAGTTGTGACGTGGCTATTTATTGTCGTGCAAAGAAAAGTGAATTTGCGATTCGATCCGTCGGTCGCTGTGAATCCGCTGCTTCGTGAAGTATTGGGTTTTAGTTTTCTGCTTATCAAGAATAAATTAAAGTTTCTCGTGCTTTCGATAATGGGTAAGTGTTGGCTTTGAATTGAATTGATATGAAGGTATGTACAAGGAAGTTAGCTGAGTTTAACGAAACAAAATTATTTTTAACTTACTGGGAAATACAATTACTAAAACAGTGATCAGAATAAACTTTGGAATTAACAAGGCGAATAATTTCGCTCACAGGGTACAGTAATTTATTTGTAGCGAATTTAACAATCTGTGAAATATTCAGTACAGCCGAAAACGTCTGGGATGGACTTGTAGAATTCTATTTATTTTTGTGTATTTCAGTATATTAAATCCTTTGACGACGAGACCTTAAGATATTATTACTTGTTCATTTATTATAAATTTATTGTGCCATTTATGAGGACGTATTAGACTTGGATTTGTAATGGCATCCACAATTTTACATCGCTTCACATCCTGCCTAAGTGCGAGTCCACCCACGCCATCTTGTATCATTATCCAGACCGTATTGAATAGGCCAAGGTCACGATTAAGAGGGTATTAGTTGTTTGGTGATAAATATAAGCTGAAGAAACTGAAAGGGCACAAGCGCTCTACCCAAAAATCGATAAGCCCGAAAGCTGCCATTTTGGTGGAGAAAGTTTCTTAAGAGATTGCACGATTTACTGTAATGCGTAGTTTTTGTTTCTTGAGATTCTCTCAAGAATAAACTGACGGACTGTTTCATGTTGTCATAAATTCTTACAGCAATAGAGATGCAGAATGAAGTAACCTATGAGAAGGTTGTTGTGAAGAATGTGCTATAATTGTATAACTTTTAGTCTATAGTTTTTTTTTTTGAAAAGTCGCTTTTGTTCTGAAAAAGTACTGCACGAATATTTTTAAACGAGTTTATTTGATTACCGAAGAACGTAAATATTTATACGAAGTACAGTTTATTATAAAAATATCATGCTACTAATATCGGTCTTGTATTGTGTAAGGATTTTATAAAAGGAAACGGTGTACTTGTATGTGTGTTTGTGGTACGTAGCTTAGGCGCAATTATAAATGACAATAGGAGACAGAAATTGCCTCAAAAACAAGTAATATCGGGTTAAAATGCAAACGAGTTTCAGTTTTTGATCTTTTTTTTTTTAAATTCAAAGATAAAAATGTCTAGACACAGAAGCTACGAAAAACATTTATAGGGAAAAGTTGGAGTTCTTTGATTGATTAATTCACGGATTCCTCAGGATTTACCCAGAACTATAGGAGTTGCGTGCTTCAGGATAATTACGGGTCATGATTACCTTCAGAATCATCTTCATCGAATTGGAATGGAGGGCCCGTCCACTTGTCCACTGTGTGGACTTTGGGTTATGATTGGAACCCACCTCGCTATGTGCCCAGGTCTTAGTGACGTCATAGAAATTTTACTGGTTTTATCGCCGATTCAAATCGGTATTGGGCTGCCAGAAACAGACGTAGGATAAAAAATGTTTGAATTACCATCACAAAAAAGAGGAGCGATGTCAGTTTCTTCTGCAATGAACAGGAAAAGAAAAAATGTGACCCACATCCACGCGGAACGGGCACATAATTAGAATTCGTGAACTGTATGAGCTGTAGAATGGAGAAAGTTCACCAATTAATACTTCATTAATTGTTTGTCTCGTAAGATTGGTACCACGTGGTAACGAGCAGAGGAACTTTCGCATGGAAGGCGGTTACGATAGACTGAACATTAGCTTGGATGGGGAAACAGGAAGTGAATATAAAAATTTATTGGGAAACCTATTTAAAAGATGTAACATGGAAGGTTGAGAATTGAATCAGAGGTTAATATGGAGATGGAAGTTGAGGACGATTATGAGAACTGGAGGTGACTAGAACTAGCTCAAGCTCGTGTTAACCGGCATTCAATTTGCTCAGCTAGCTCAGGGGATCACAGACACATCAACCAACAACTGCGTCCAACTCAAATGTCTCCTTCCTAGAAGAGACTCCACACACGTGATCCTGAGAAACTCAACCCCGACTTGCTCACAAAGCGCTCATTAAAAGAACAACAAGAGTACACAATTGTAAACATTTGCTAGATACGAAGAACAACTGATACTGAGTAAGAGCACGGCCGGTTACACTACATGCAACCATCAGTTGATACAGCTTTTGGAAAATACACTTAAATGCTACTTTAACACGAGAAAAGCTTGGGGAAAAAATCTTCAGTTCTCTACAGCTTTTTTTGTCAATCTGGGTTTCGAAACTTAGGTCTACTCTTATTGTTTAATGTATTGCTTTTTTTCATAACATTTTGTACTTCCACACTGGAGTAGAAACATGTTAAAAAGCCATAACTTCTATGTGCGTTTTATTAGTTTTTCTTGTATTTAATAAAAAAATTGATAATCTAGAGGACGAGTGTCACGCGATGCTCGTCTGTCCTTGGTTATGTTCTGTGATTCAGTTATTCTATTGTTGGTTCATTTTGCATGCCAGCGGCCAAGCTGATCACATGGATCGATGAACTTAGGGCTAAGTTACAGGCGTAGAACACGAAAGTTTTGTGTAGAAGGAACGAAGAAAGCGAAGCTTCTTATTGTTTAAGATTTTAGGTGTTTTCGAGTTTCGCATTTCTCGAGCTAGAAAAAAAGCTGTATTTGTGGAGATTATTTTTTACTGTTATTGCGGTTAATTTTATTGTTTAGTATTTAGTAGTGGAGTAGTCTGAAAAACGCAAGGCTTTTCCCCCTTCCCCTCACCAAAAGCTTTGAGGCATTTGCCACGCTCATGAGTCGAGGTTGTGGCTGCTAATGCCAAGAAACCTCTAACAAAAGCGGTGCAAAATACATTTCAGGTCTTCATTGAGTTTTGTCGTACTTGTAGGTCGGTCATAAAATCAATGCGTGTACCATCTGATCCACTATAGGGCAGTTGTATTCAACCTTTTTTATTCGCGTACCCCCAGATATAATTTCTCTTCAACTTTGTACCCCCAAAGTTGTTGGTGTATAATTCAAATTATACATAGTATATAATCTACATCTAAAATAAATTCAATAAATTACATTACTGATTATTCATTGTTTTTCATAAAATAATATATTTTTTTTAAATTTCACGTACCCTCTAAGATATCTTCGTGTACCCTCGGGGGTACGCGTACCCCAGGTTGAATACCACTGCTCAATAGCAGCTGCCTCCAAACGTACAGACTATTTTCGTCATAGAAGTTGCGTCCTTCATCAGGACGAGGCAGTAAGTACCTCTGGGGCGTCAGGAAACTTTTGCCATGCTACGCTTGGCAACAACGCAAAGGCAGCGGAAACCATTTAGCCTGATAACAATTCGTAGTGATGATTACGTTCATATCAAATCGCAGGATGACCGAGACACTGAACAAATGACAATCAAATTACGTATCATCTTTTGGTCCTGCCTTCGAACTCCAGCTCAAGCAGCCTCTACAGCACGTCACGTTCTTTCCTCATACATTTTTCCAATTTCTGGTTTTGTCTGTAACTTTCGTTGTTGAGTTTTCTTCTCTCTCTAACATTATCGTAGCCGAGTGATTGACACGTGTTCAGGAGTTCTTGTGCTCAAATCTCGGCCGGAAGCGGTTTCATGGTTGTTTCTTTCAAACAATGACCAAATGGTCTTTTCAGCTCTACTCCACGTGCACGTCGAACCTAACACACGACATTTGCTTCAAAACAAATCGCTCTCTCCGCTATTGCGACAACAATTGCGCAGAACGACACAGTAATTGTTTTAAATTACAAATTGCAGATTGCGGCCGGCTTCAGTCTTTCACAAAGTGTCCCGTCACAAGACACTTAAAAATAAAAGAAATTTCAGACACGGAGTCGTTTAATAAATTGTATTGATCCTATAATCGTGAACTTGTACAAACTCGTAATCTTCAAATCAGAACGAGAAATGCAGCTTCGCGTAACACGTGATTTAGGTGCCATTGTTGCTGTCGCTTTTGGAGGAGGTCTACGATAACATTTCAAAGGCGCTGAAGATTAGTGCCATTTGATCGTCGGTTAACTTATACCAGACTACACAGGCGATGACGTCAGCAGGCCTACCAAGGGAGTAACAAATGCAACATTAGCGTCACATCCAGGGTCCCTGTTGAAATAATGCGAGAGACACAAACCTTTCGAGAACATTTACTGGTGCATTGTTAAACAATATACGGTTTACTGTACATACTGAAGGTACAACAAACAGCATCTACTGTACCCTAAATCCTTCAGTGCGTTGTACTTAAAGCAAATATTTGCAAGGCGCAGGTTTTCAAAACTATAAGATTTCTTTATCAAACTTAAAAGTCATAAGAAATTCGGAACAGATGAATCACGAAGAGAGAAGGCATATTAATAACGAAAACGTATCCCTCAGTTTAAGAATTGAAACTTGAGGGTTGAAGTCTGAAGCCTAAGGCGTAAATGAGCAGCTGTTCATATAACAATCTGAATTCATTCTGTGGAATGCCCAGAGATTTTATAAAATGCCTAGAACTTTTAGGCAATGTATGAAACTTAACAGTTTATTTTATACTTTGCTTAGATATTCTATCGAATACCTAGGAATTTTATAAAATGCCTCAGATTCTTTAGGCAAAGCATATAACAAAGAAGTTTCTATAATACGATTTTGTACAGTTTTATTTTATCTTTTATATTTGCAAAAACTTGACATAAAACAAATTTTTTTATTCTCAAAACTTTTGTTATGTTCAGATTCAGTAGATTGGTGTTTTCGCGACTGTCTTGCACAACTTAATTTTAATTTACACAACGAAACAACAGTAACGTATGGGCGACAATGAATGCTTCGCGCACACCGCACACGTGGCCAAGAGGAAGAGTCCATTATTTCGTGCGAGTAGGTGAAGTCGGTGGTCGTGCAGTCCGTTTCGTACTTTGCCCACATTGAACCCGGCCTTCTGTAGACCGCCTAGGCAAAGGAAATCATACGATTTATTTCATTAGGCATTTTATACATTGTCGGTAACATATATACTTTGAATTTAGATTGTTTCCTAAAGGAAAGGGAGTTAACTTAGATTTTATGTGAAGGGTTGTACCCTCCAATGGGCACGCTCAAAGTTTTAATTGAAATAAAGCTGCAGTCTCCTGCTTTAGTGTGTTACAAGTTTTGTTTTTTCTATTCTCTCTCATTCTGTAAGTGTAAAACATCTCGTTAGTGCCAGATTTACCAATTTTATAATGGAGTGCATTTTTTATCTGGTTGTCATTGCGACGTATATCAATTTGTGTCTAACACCGAGCAACATTCATGATTATACTTACGACAATAGTTTACTGCAGACGTGGGTTCATTTCTCGTATGCACCTTTCTTGTAATTAGAGTCCACAGCCCAAGCAATCAAGAGCACCCGGTTCGAATCCGAGCTCGAAAAAGTAAATGTCACAGCATTAGTCCTATATTACCCTGTTTCGAATTTCTTCGTACAAGTGTCTGTTGATTGACTCCAGGGGGATGGCAGAGGTGGAGTCGACGTCCCGCAGGGGCAATAATTTAGCAGTTTGCAGCTTCGAGGGCGGTCAGGCTACCTGACGTTTTTTTGTCTGTCTGCACTAATGTCAGGACGAAACTCAAAGTCAGGCAGAGGCACTCAGGGGTCGTGACCTGCCATTTGTTTAGAACCCCCCGTAATAAATCGAGGGCTACCTGTATCTGGACCAAAGAAGCTCCAGAAAACTGCAGTCAGGGCTTCCATGGTTCGGACGTTTTCAAATATTATCATCGTCTTTATTTATCCAAACAAATAAGAATGAGATGGGCGGGGCACCTAGCACGAATGGGAAATATGAGATTATTCGCATGAAAAAAACCATTTGGAATACTAATAGTAATATAGAGTACTAGAGTAATATTAAAATGGAACAAATTTGAAATGGAATGGCATGGAATTTAACTTGCCCAGAACGGGCAGTAATAGTAGCAGGAATTGTAAGCTTTTGTGACTGCGGAAATGAACTTAAGAATTTCATAAAAAAGTACTGTTTCCCCTAATGGGTTTGGCAGACTATATTCTTATGACAATGACATTGAACTAAACTGGTTCTGTCCGCCGGCCGCTTGAAAATCCCCGCGGCTGTGGCATTCTGAGGTATCCATGAGAACACATGAAAGCCTTGCGTCTGTTGTTCGTTAGTGGTTGTGAAACGAATGCTTTCAGGATGGCTAGTAGCAACTCGTCACTCTCCCCCCCCCCCCCCCCCAAATACATTTCAAACTTGTTTGCTTTCATTGCAGCAGAGTGGGGGAAGCTTACTGCCGCGCAGTCTGTGGTCATCGTTGGTGGCTGATGGTTGCAGTTGTCTGATGTTCTGTGGCGTGGCGGTACTTCGTAGACCCAGGTATTAAATCAGAATATTCATTGTAGTAAGGAACGTCAGTTATGGTTTCCCTTTTATCACTCGGTTATCCTTTAAGAAGCTGCAACGTACGTTGATGTTTGTGGTTTTGATGAGTTTGCGTTATGTTGTGCTAAGGGGTGGGGGGCAGTGAATGGAAGAACGCCTTTTGAAATAGACTGCATTGATGATTAACTTCTGTGGAGTAGGTTAGGATTCATTTCTGGTGTACCTTCATTCTAAGAATTGTGATATGCGCCATCTGGAAACCGAAATATCAGTGCCGAGTGGTTCTGCCATTGTTCTTGCATCACGGAGCTGTGGCGTCCTGATTGCATGTGGTATCGTATTCCAATGGATGTGACATGGACAAGGAAAGTTGAACGCATATTACCATCTTCATAAGAGAGGACTGAGTTGGAAATATGTTTGTAACATGCTTTATTTTTATAAAAAGCCTGGAAGTTCATTGCCCAAGAATATGCTGTTTTGTTTGTATATGTATGCATACAGGAAACTGGATATTTTGGATATGATTGCTTTTTGTCATTCTAGGAGCTCAATACTAGAGGCTTGCTTGATCCTTCAGAGTCTGCTGACTGGCAAATTGTGTGTCACCTGTGTTTGTGCTTGTCTGAAGAGCAGTGCAACATCACTTTGCAGGCCCACATGATATCACAACCCAAATTCAACCATAAACTTGACATGTGTTCTTAAGAAACCTCATGTCACTGGCCCATCTTTATGTGCATTAGATCAGCATTAGCACATGTCGCATGTGCATACTGTATGTGGTAGTTAAGTTAGTTAAAGATAATGTGCTTTCAATTAACACACAGCACTTCCCACTTTGTAGTAACATTTTCTGGATTTCTGATTTCACATTATTGTATTTCTGAAAAGGCACTGTAAACATGCACATTAACTAAAATGTGTAACAATAATTATGAGATGAAAGTGGTTACCGCAGAAGTTGCTTAGGGTGAATTTGGTGTCTGGAATACAAAAAAATGTGATGTCAGGAATCCAGTCAACTAGTCTTAACATGACTTTGTACATTTTTGTTTCAGGACTGGAGCAGTTGCAGCCAGGGCCCTTTGTGGTGAGTGCAGAAGTCGTCGTAGCTGGAGTGTAACAAGTAAGTGCCAGTATGACCTGGAGCTTTTGTTGCAACTAAAATTCTTCTTAGGTTGCCAGCCATGTCGTGTGGTTGAAAGGTGAAAAACAATTTATCTCAAAACCTTGGATACTGTGTAGTGTATTTGAATATAAATCATGCATACAAACAAAACTGTCTACACTTTGAAGGACACTGATGCCAGACGTGTTTCGACCTCAAGAGGTCATCAGTGTCAAAAACAAGTTGAATCATATAATACAAATCTAAAAGATTGTGGTTTTTTATAGAGCATAGAAGGCAAGTTCTTTACAAAATCATGTTTATGTAACACCTCGCTGGACGTTGATTGCTCAGGAGTTGGTGCATTATATTGAATACTTGGCTTTTATGTCCACTGGCCTGCTTGCCGATTGTGGTCTACGGTGAGCCTGTGCCTGCTAACTTCAACGATGCTTGGGCATTACTGTCAGCTTTAAAAATGTGTAGGGTATATATTAACTCTGAAATCAGGGTGGCCTACTATTGCATAAGAAATTTACTTTTTTCTGTTTTTTGCTTGGTCAAATAACACATTGGAGTCTTGGGCATTCTGTTCATTTATCATGTTTTGGTTTTTGCTAGTTTTATATATATATGGGATTTTTCAAAAATGTCTAAGCATTTTACCTTTTGAGGCTTTGTTCTCGTCCTCAATACTAAAGTGCTCAGGACCTTGATGAATATGTTTCTTCAAACATTAATTTTCTCTTCTTTGAACCACATGGCATGGCTGGTAGCCTGAGAGAAATTCATTATAATTAAGATGCAGTGTTTAAATGTCAGTTTTATCATACAGTGTGGAATAACCATGGCGTAATAGCGTAAGATAATGTAAAGAGATTGATTTGTTTCCCAAAACAATTTGTTTCTTTCATGGACAGATGCTTTCACTGTTTTACCATTAGTTTTACTGTCTTTGCCTTGATATCTCGTATTTAGAGCCATTTACGTATGGAATTATGAAGTCATATCTCAGGATTTAGTTCTGGTCTTCAGCACTCCGTACCACAGGTGTCATAACTTGAATAAAAGTCACCTAACTGTTTATATGTCATGCCACGCCTCACTTGAGTGAGTGAATGAATGGAGTTGAATTGGTCTGTGGAACAGGTGCATAATGAAATTATAAAACAAAAGGACAATCTGATATAAATTCATAAATATAGTTGATATTAGGCTGAAGACATTTCACTGCAGTTATTTCTACAAAATTTTGATTTGAATGTTGATGACAAAATAAAATGCTGGAAATTATATGTTGTAGGATGTTCTCAGAATTGGAGAGTTTGAAAACAGTCCCTCTCTGGGCTGAGCAATTTTAGAACTGCTGCCTTTAAGTTTTATAATGAAAGTAGTTAAAATCATATTTTAATTCTCAAATTACGTCATTGACTGGAAGTTCTTAGATTTGTGGCTATTGAAATGTGCCTGCACCAACGAGGCAATTATTCAGACCACATTTGTCTGACAGTGCAGCCAGTCAGATGGGATGCTGAGATGTGGACCATGCAACTTGAAAGGGCTGTTTTCAAGGTGTGAATTTAGAAATTCGTATTTATCCAAAATATATAAAATCATGTGTTCAAACAGAACAGTTTACATTTTGAAAGGCCAAACGTGTTTCGACCTCATGAGGTGATCATCAGAGACGAAAACATACAATTCACAAGACGATTGTATGTTATAAAGCACTCAGCATAAAAAGGTCGCATTTTATGAAACCTTCCTTCATGTAATACCACACTGAATGATTAAGCATTATGTAAATTTCCTTCAATTCTAGGACTTTATGTTTACATCCATGCTGTGTTTTTAATTTTCTGTTAATATTATAATAAGATTTCCAGAAATGATAGCCTGGGTTTCTGAGTAATTTTCATATAAAGTTAATGATCTTTCCTCGAACACTTTAGGAATGGGTTTTAATCTTGTTAGGAGGAGCATGGCATCGATTGGAGTTGTTTTGACTCCTCCTGTAAGGAGTCGTAATTCCTGGTTTTGCGCTCGGTCTAGTTTACTCAGCTTTTTACCCATAGCTGTTATCAGTGACTCACAGCAATATAACATTTTGGGAAGGATGAACATTTGTATGCTGTGTTTAGGGTAGAGCGATCACAACCCCATTTAATTCCTGCAATGCATTTCATTGAATTTATGCGTCTAGTTACTGCAGATACAGTTTTTTATACTTGCTGAGGCCATTTTAATTTGTTATCAAAAATTGGTCTGTTTGATGTAGTGGCATGTTTGTTTTATGTTAGGTTGGATGCCTTGATGAGTTACGGAGGTTTCGAACTTTGACTTTGACACACTAATGTTCATATTATTTTTAATACACTTGCGCTTTATAGGAATGAACACAAAAGACTTTCTCCCTCTTGGCTGTTTGTGAACATTGGAAAGAAAGATGCTGATTTATCAGTTTATAACCATCTTGATTTATCCCATGAAAGGACAAAAAATATTGAGAAAGCAGAACATGCTAAGCGGCAGAGAAGATGGTAACAGATGAATAAATGGTCCAGTGTCTAATTAATTAATCCAGAGAGGAGTAGGGTGAAGAGAAAAATAAGCATGAACCTGAACAAATTCCAGTTAGTAAATAGCAAACTCATGAAGCTGTTATCATTCTAAGAACTGCACTGGAAAAAAGTTTAGCAACTGAATGTGAATACAGAAAGTACAGTACTGAGAGTTATTAAAATAAGTTATGTGCTACGCTGACTGCTCACACCTATCTAATGCCAGGTTAAAACATTAAAGAGGAGGCTGAAATAAGAGACTGCTTTCCATGAACTGTAAATTTGAATACAAATTTTTTGTTCTCTCTTTGAATGTAACTTTGTTGGTGGGTATTGTTTTACTGCATCAGGCTAGTTTGTGTAATGTGTTTTTTAATTTGCGCGCTGGTTCGAGTCTCGGGGGGAGAAGAAATTTTCTCATGAGCTTTCGACCAATGTATGGGACCGGTGCCAACCCAGCATCGTGAGGAAATTGGGGAGCTACAATGAGTAGCTTAGGCATGTGAACGTGAGGCCAGCAGTCAAGCTAGTCGGCTCTGGCTCTCTGGAGCTGTTATGCCACGGATTTATTTAATTTTTTACTCTTCCAGTAAGTTGGGTGCTGTATTAGTGGTCTTGACCTCTGGTTTCCATTTAGCTGTTTCAGTATAAATCACTAAATCATCTGCATACAGCAAACATTTAATATCAGGTATCGAGTTTATTACTAGGATCAGATCGTTTATGTATACATTGAATTGAATGCAGCTTAATATGGCCTCTTGAAGAACACCAGTTTGCAGCAATTTACATCTTGATAATCAAGTGCCATACTGGATTTTACAATGATTGATGAATGACTCAATCCACTTAAGCATATTGGATCTTACGCCAAGTTTTGCCATTTTATGAATTAAATTTTCTCTCTAGGCTGAATCATATGCAGCCTTAAAGTCTACTAAGACTGCGGTAAATATATTAAATGAAGTTGGTTTAGTTTCCAAAATTCGCTTCTTCAGGAGGGCTGTCTTTTGTCTCTATGCTAGGATGTCTTCTTCCCCTGATTGTTCAGGAGTTCTCCGTAACTCATCCCGTTGCTTTTTAATTTCTTGAAGGTCTTTAGACCAAAAGCACTTGTAATTTTTAATAGATCCTCTTGGAATATGTATTTTTGCACATTTAAAGATTTTAACATTAAGGCTTGAAAATATTTGACTAGGATGTTTTGTAAAATCTATATTCTCCTCTTGTAATTCGGCTTCTAGAGACTTCAAGAAGTTTTCCGAATCTGCGTCTTTGAAGTTCTATGCAACTTTAAAGTGGGGTTTACCTATATGTCTGGGTGTTTTCACATTTATATTAGCAGTGACTGCTCTGTGACCAGATCCTAGATTTTCTAATACCATTCTTTCGCTGTCTTGGTATATATCGGCAGACACGAGAAGGAGATCAGGCGTAGTTAGTGAGCCATTGTGATACACATAGTTGTGTGGATCAGATTTATCGTATGTTAGCTGTAAAATACTAGAGTTCAGTAGATCTTCAACTTCCTTTCCTGCCGCATTAGAGTCGCTGTAGCCCCAGTTGAAGTCTCCTATGAAGACACTTTTGTTTGTGAAGTTTATAGCTGAAAAATTAGGCCTGTTATTTGGTGAACTGTAGATAGCATAGATTTTAAAGTTGTTGCCTTCCATAATTTTGCATTTATCCTCTGTGCTGCCCATTTCTTCGAATATTTTCAAATCAGCTATATGAAGATTACTTCAACTGGTATTCTGCTGGCAATTTGCCTATATTTTTCCAAAATTTATAATGTATAACCCTTGAGCTGGTAGCGAGGCAGTATATCATCAGAGAGATTTGCTTCCATGATTGTGAAGACGTCAATCTTATATTTTGTCAGAGTTAGCATTAGCTCTGTCCTTTTCGTTTGAGATAAACCTCCAGCGTTCCATTGTAAAATTCTTAACTTCTTGGGTTCGTTCTTAGAAGAACGATTATATGTGAGGTATGTTATTCTTATAGACCTCTTTGCCATCAGAGACGCCCAGGGTGCACCACGGAGAGTTAGGTCTATGTCGCACCCCTGAATGTAATTTGTTTATAACCCTATTTATTTTCTGTTGAAGGATGTGGCCATTCTCTACTGTTATTAAATATTTGTGTCATCAGCAAATTAAATTATCTTTTTTTTTTTTTAATATCTTAATTGCGTCATGTTTGTGTTTATTAATACAATAATTTATTTACCGTCTTTACACAAACTTAAAAATGTTGTTAAAATTACTTAAAATTATAACATTTTTTCATTAGATACTAGATCTTGTTACATTTTACATTTGACGACATGTTTCGATGTTATCTCATCATCATCAGGTCTATCAATTAAAATCTGTTGCACTTCTTGCTCTGCGTATATTGATTTGTTTTATTTGTTTGATTTTTTAAGTTCCTTCCATTAAATTTGAAGGCTGTGCCCGGATGCTTTAAATC